CGATGGGTGGCGGTTGGGGAGCAGGTGCTGGCGTGGGCGGGCAGGGCAGATCTGTCGGGAGCTGCGGCTGCCCTCCGTTGGTGGGCTATTTGAAGTTGAGTCCAGCCCTCCCGCTCGCCCACCCCTCCCGCTCCAACCCTCCGCCTTCCCCCCCCGCCCGTGCAGTGCTTCCCGGGCGAGGGCCCGCAGCTGCTGGCCCCCGCGCTGCAGCGCCTGCTGGCCGCCCTGCTGTCGGGGCGGGAGTCGGGGCTGGTGGCGGCGGCCGCCCTGGGCGTGTACGCCCGCGTGCTGCTGCATAACGGTCCCGCCTTTTTGCAGCTCTTCCAGCAGGCCGCGCCGCACGTGGCACCGCCGCCGGGCGCTCCCGCGGGCCCCGACCCCGCCGCCCGCCTGCTGCTGGCTCTGGTGGACCTTTGGCTGGACAGGTTTGACGCCATCGCGCAGCCCGCAGCCCGCAAGCTGGGCGCGCTGGCGCTGTGCGTGCTGCTCACCGCGCCGCTGCCGCCGCTGCTGGAGCGGCTGGACCTCATCGCCACCCACATCACCTCCGTGTGGTTCGAGGTAGATACAACCTTTGTGGCTTGGGGGGCGAGGCATGTGGGGTAGGGCGGGGCACGAGGCACGAGGCGGCAGCGGTGTTGGGCATTCGCTGTGCCAGCCGCGCGGGCCGCGGCCGCCCGGGTCCCCGCAGCGCGCCCCGGCCGCGCCGCGCGCGCGCCCACGTGCCGCTCGTCCACTCTGCCCGTACCGCCCGCCCGCCCGTACCGCAGGTGGAGGGCTCTGACCTGGCGGCCACCGTGCCGATCAGCTACCAGCTGCTGTGCAGCGGCGCGGGGCGGGGCGAGGACGACGCGCACGCTGTGGTTCCCAGCGAGGAGGCGGCGGGGGAGAGCGGGCGGCGGCAGGCGCTGGTGGATGCCGACCCCGTTGCCACCCTGCGGCTGTCGGCCTTTGCTAAGCAGCAGGTGGAGGCGGCGGCGGGGGTGCACGGCGCCGCGCTGGCGGCGGCGCTCAGCGCCATGGATGCCAGCCTGGCGGGGCAGCTGCGCGCCATGCTGGACTCGGCGGCCTAGGCCCCATGGCAGTAGGCGGCGAGGGGGGACACTGCCATGGGCAGATGGGCAGACAGGGACAGCCGGCACGCGGGTCGGCAGCTCAGCTGGCGTCCTTTCTGGCGCTGTGCAATCGAGCCATGCAACAACAGGCAGCTCCCCGCAGCGGTGCATCCTATCCGGTGGCTGGCACATGCTCCAGGTCAGAGTTGTGAGGAGCCCTGAGAGTTGAGGAATGTGGGGTGCTGGGCGGCGGCGGCGGGGAGGGCGGCGTGGGGAGGCGCATCCGCCACCTCATCCAGGAGATACCCAAAGAGCTGGGTGGCCTCAGCGCGCTGTGCGCCCTCCTCCGCACCCCCTGCTAGTGCTGCGCCGCTCTGCCTGCGAAAATGCTGTGCACCGCCCAGGCTGTGGTCCCGATATTTGCTCGGGCCGTTCCCGACTCGGGGCGCAACAGCCCCCGGCGCCAGGATTGCGTGCCGCAAGCAGAGCGGAGGCCGGCGCTGCTGCGCCAGGCCTCGGTGGGGCTGGCGGGAGCGCTGGCGGCAGCCAGCCTGTCCTTGCAGTCGGCGGCGACAGAGGCGGGGGAGTTCCTGCCGCCGCTCCAGAAGCTGCTCAGCCCGAACAAGGAGCAGTCGTATGTGTATGAGGGCAAGCAGCTGTTCGACCCCATGGCCTGTGAGCTGCTGCTGCCAGCTGCCGCCCACTCGGCCGCGTTGCCGCCGCCGTGACAGCTCCGCCACCTTCCCTGCTGCCTACCGCCGGAAGCGACCAGCACTGCATCGTCACTGGTTGGAACCGCCCGTCTGATTGTGCACAACCCTGTGCCGCCCTATGCAGACTCTGGGAGGTGGTATGAGGTGGCGTCTCTGAAGAAGGGCTTTGCGGGGGAAGGGCAGCAGGATTGCCACTGCACGCAGGGCATCTGTGAGCGCCCCGCAAGGGGGATGGAAGGGAATTGGGCCTGGCTTGCCTTGGTTTGGCGGAAGTGGACTCGGGTTGCCGGGTGGTGGTGGGCAGCCAGCTGTGCCTGGCATGCCATGGCCCCATCCCACCCGCCCTCACACTGCCTGCAGATGTGCCCCAGCAGATGGGCGAGGGCATCAAGCTGCAGGTCAACACCTTCTGCATCCACGGCGGGCCGGGAGGCAGGCTGAGCGGCATCCAGGTGGGTGGGTGGCTGGGCCGGGGAGAGCGCTGCCTGCCCGCCTGCCCCGCCTGCCTGCTGCACGTTTGCCGCTGCCGAGCGCAGCAGCGGCCTCGCGACGGCTGGGACTCCCTTCGGCTAGCCTGCACCGGCCTGGACAGCAGCACGCTGGCTGCTCCCCGCCGCCATGCGCCATGCGGGCCGCCCCGCCGCCGCAGGGCTCGGTGACGTGCGCCAACCCGGTGCTGCTGGAGGTGCTGCCCGAGTTCAAGTCGCAGCTGGAGCGGGAGGAGGGGATTGTGGAGAAGTGCTCCCTGGTGTTTGACTCCCTGCCCTTCCTGCCCGCGGAGCCGTATGATGTCATCAGGTGGGGCGCAGCAGGGCAGCGGGGGGCGGGGGCTGGGCTGGCCAGGGGGCCGCCTGGTGGGGCGGGGCTTTGAGCTGCGCTTGGTTTCCTGCCGTGCCACAGGCTCTACGCAGGCCTGCTGCCCGCCGTTTGCTTGGCACCCACCCACCACCCCCTCCACCCCTTACCCTTGGCGCGCCTGCTCTTGCCTGCCTGCCTGCCTGTTTGCCCCTGCCTGCCCCTGCCTGCCTGCCTTCCCGCAGGACAGACTACGCCTCGTATGCTCTGGTGCAGGGCGCCAAGGACCGCAGCTTTGTGCAGGTGTACAGCCGCACCCGCAACCCGGGCCCCGGCTTTATCGCCGCCCAGAAGGCGGTACTGGCGGAGCTGGGATACCCCGTGGATGAGATTGTGGACACGCCGCAGGTGCGTGTGTGTGTGTGTGTGTGTGTGTGTGTGTGGTGTGGGGGGGGGGGGAGTGGGCAGGCACGGGGAGGCCTGGGCGAGCCCAACGGCCCAGCTCAGCCCAGCAGGGGCGCCTGCTGGCGTTCCCGCGCCCTGCGAGGCCGCCTGCCCCGCCCGGCGCTGCACTCTCGGCGACCCCCTCGTGCCGCCTGCGTCCTTCCTCCCCGCCCCCCCTTGCAGGACTGCCCCGAGATGCCGCCATCCGCCATGATGGCGGCCATGAATGCCGGCATGCAGGGCGCCCAGCTCATGCCCGCCTCCACGCCCCCCACCGTGGCCATGCGGGGCTACGACCTGGGGCCCGCGGACGCGGCCGCCAGCCCCGTCAGCGGCGTGCAGTTTGAGGCGCTGCGCAATCCGGTTGAGACGGTGAAGGATGTGCTGCGCCTGCTGGGCATGTGAGGAGGGGCTGGGCCTGGGCCGATGCCACACGAGAAGAAAGATGCACGAAGACACTGAACGAATGCGGCGCATGCCACCAGCCGTCGTTGAACCGTAAACATACGCCGATACTATGCCACTGGATTCTCCCATCCGAACCGAGCCATCTGGTGCCTGCCATCCAACCATGCCAATCACTCTCTTCTACTTTCCCTCTGGTTTGATCACCACCACCGCCGATACAATGCCTCCTCTGGGTGCCGACACAATGCCTCCTCTGGTTTTTTCTCCTGCTCATTTTGATGCCAGGCCAACAATAAAGATTTTGAATCAGTTCAAATATTGTGGGTTCCTGTGGGGTGTACTCTTACAGTTTTAACGTAACACACACTGCCAGGCTGCCGGGCCCAGAAACAGCCTCCACCGCTGAGCAGCAGGCCAACAGCCGCTGTCGGCACCCGCCTGGCTGCCGCCGCCGCCAGCGCTGGGCCATAGGCGTATGGCACATGGCATGCCCCCCTGGCCGGCGCCCAGGGTCCCGCCGCCCCCTCACGCGGCCGTGTTCTTGAGAGCGGCCCAGGCGGCGTTGTCCACCCGCTTCACCATCGCCTTGATCTGCTGGCCGGGGCCCAGCTCATGCATCTGGTTCTTGCCTGCGCAGCAGGAGGGCGCATGCACCATGCGCGGTGATGGGTGGCCGGATGAAGCGCTGGGCATGATCCCTGGCAGGGGCTGCCGGCCAGACGCCCAGCGCTGGGCATCGCGCCCCGCCCCAGCCCATCGCCGCCCAGAGCAGCCCCGCCCCTTGCGGCGGCGCCACCCACCCGCTGCCACCAGCTTGCGGATGGTGCCCTCCCACTGCACCGGCTCCACCAGCTGGCGCGGCAGCAGCGCGGCGATGTCTGCGGCCCCCTGGAAGGGCTCCCCCGTGACGTTGGAGTAGATGGGGATGCGCGGCTCGCGGATCGACACACTGGACAGCACCTGCTTGGGTCGGTGGGGGGTGTGGGGTGTGGGGTGGGTGGGGAGGAGGTGTATGCGTGTGTGGTGGCTGGTTGGTGGTGGGGCGTGGGGATCACATTCAGCATGGCTGGGTGCACATGTACATGCACACGCACGGCAGCCCATTCACGGCTGCATGCTGCCACTTCCCACCCGCCCCCCCGCCCCACGCCGCACCTGGGTGAGCGCGTCGCGCGCGGGCTGCATGAGGGGGGTGTGGAAGGCGCCGCTGACGGCCACCGGCACCGCCTTGAGCGCGCCCTTGGCGGTGGCCTGGCGCTGCACCTCCTCCAGCGCATCCTTGTGGCCTGTGGGGTGCGGGGCGGGGCAGGCGCCAGGGGGTCGGGAGGAGGCGGCAGCTGGGTCGGGCGGTTGGGGGATATCGGCGCCTCCCACCTACCCACAGCACACACCACACACACCACATGCCACACATGCATGCATGCACGCATGCACAGCCCACCACCCCACGGTCCATCACCCCCCCCACCCGGCCCCTCACCCGACACCACGCGACCCTGCGGGAACAAAAAGTTGGCCAGCTGGCAGACGGCATCGGGGCGCGCGGCGCGCACGGCGGCGCACACGCCCTCCAGGTCGGCATCCCCCAGCCCCACCACCGACAGCATGCCGTGCGGCTTGCCCTGCTTGGCGGCCGCCGACATGCTCTCCGCCCGAACCTTGACCACCTGGGGGCGGCGCAGGGGGCGGGGGCGGGGCGGAGGGTGGGCGGGAGCATGTGGTGGCGGCAGCAGGGGCAAGCAGCGCAACGGGCGGGAGAGCGGCAGGGGCTGTGATACAGACACCCCCCACACCCCCACACCAGCAGGCCATGCCCCGCAGCGCACACACACACACCGCCACCCAGGTTGGCGCCCACCTTGAGGCCGTCCTCAAACGACAGCGCCCCGGCAAACACGAGCGCCGTGTATTCCCCCAGGCTCAGCCCCGCGCACGCCGAGCAGCCGTCCACGGCGGCTGGGTTCTGGGAGCGCAGCCGCTCCACGGCCGCCAACCCCGCCACAAACAGCGCCGGCTGCAGGGCGGCAGGCGGGCGCGGGGGCGGCGCAGGTGGGCATCACTCCCGCATGCCAGCCGGCGGGAGCGTCACGCTCGCGCTCCAGCGTCCGCTCCCAGCCCCTGGCAGCAGGCTCAGCTGTTCCTCACCGCCCCCACACATCACCTCTGGCTGTTCCCGCGCTCACACACACAAAACACGCACCACCACCACCACCACCAACACCAACCACCGCACATGCACAGCGCGCACAGCGTGCACAGCGCGCCCACCTGCGCATACACGGTGTCGTCCAGCTTCTCCTTGGGCCCCTCCAGGCACAGCGCCAGCAGGTCGTACCCCAGCACCGCCTGCGCCGTGTCCAGCATCTTGCGCACAGCGGGGAGGTCCTTGGACTCCTGAGGGGGCGGTGGTGGGGTGTGGGGTGTGTGGGGGAGGCGCAGCCGGGAAGCGGGGGTGGGCCAGCGAGCAAGGAGACACGGCACGGAAGGTCTCAAGGCACGTGACGTGATAGCCCGCTCACACAAGCACGCAGTGTGTTCGGAAGCTGGCTGGTCAGCGGGCCTTGGCGCCTCCCTTCCCCCCTCGCCTTCCGCACCTTGAGCATGCCCACCGCCTGCGAGCCCTGCCCCGGGAACAGAAAGGCGATGGGGGTGGCGGGCGCCGCCGGCTTGGCCGCGGGGGTGGCGGGGCCGGCGGCCGCTGCCGCATCTGCCGCCACCCGCGCCGCGCGCCGCTGCTCCTTGCCCTTCTTCAGCTCGGCCGCGTCGCGCTGCCGCTTGAGCTCCTCTGCGGTGCGGCCGGGGCAGGGCAGGGTACCAGCCTTCATGCAGCCTGGGCCTCGCAGCCGCACCTCTCCTCCCAGCTCCCTTCCATCAGCCTTTGCTGTCGATCGCGCGACTTGGAACCATCCCCAAGACAAAACCTGCCACCCCGAGACAAAACCACCCGCTCCAGACCGCCCGACACTCCCTGCACACCACCCCGCCCCACATTGCCCCCTCCACCACCACACACACACACAAGCACGGCCCGCGCCCCCACCCGGGTAGGGGTGCTTGTAATCGGGCGCCCAGCCCTTGACCCGCTCCAGCCCGTAGTCGTACACCGTCCACCAGCAGCCCAGGTCGGGGTGGGGCAGCCCCTTCTTGGGCACGCCCGCATACCGCTTCTCCAGCTCCAGCAGCTTGGCGCGCGTGGCGCCGCCGTCGTCCTCCAGAGCCACCTGCGCCACCACAGGGGACGCGCCTGGGACGGTGGGGGTGGTAGGTGGGCAGGCAGGCGGGCAGGCAGGCAGGCAAGCAGGCAGGCGGCAAGGCGAGGCACAGCCGCCTCGAGAGCCCCCCGCTGGCACAGCATGTCGACATGCATGGGCGGCAGTTCAAGCCATGGCCTGCTTGCTTGCTGCCTTCCTTCTTTCCACCCTGCTTCTTTCCACCCCGCACCTCCACAGGCAGCTTCCTGCCGGGGTTGAGGTAGGGGTCGTAGTTGTCGGTTTTAATGGAGGGGTCGGCGCCACGCGACTGCAGAAGGGCAGGGTGCAGGGTGCGGCGTGGAAGTTGCAGCGGTGGCTTGTTGGGCGAGGAAAGCACGGCGGCATGCGCATGCAGCAGCATGCTGGCGACCGCCTGCTGGGCTGCCACCACACCGCACACCAGCCACACCGCACACCAGCCACACCCACCAGCAGGTATTCGTAGATCTCTGTGTATCCGTCGTAGTGCGCCAGGTAGGCGGCGCGGTGCAGCGCGGTGAACCCCCTGTTGTCCCGCTGGTTGATCTCGGCGCCGTTGTTGAGCAGGTGGTGCACCTGCGCGTGGTAGTGGCAAGAAGATAGGGGCAGGGGGCATGAGAATCAGGCGACGGCGGCGGCAGCTTGTGACCGCTGGGCTGCAACAGGGCGGCTCCAACCTCCCATCTGCCTGAATCGATCCCCAGCTGCCCCTCCCCTGCGCTCATGCACGGCTGCCCACCCCCCAGCTGCCCGCACCATGTCCAGCTGCCTGTAGGTGGTGGCAAAGTGGAGGGGCGCCCCCGCGCCGTTGTCCTGGGTGACGAAGTACGGGTCTGTGTCCATGATCTTGGCCAGCTGCTCAGGGTCGCCCAGCCTGACCGAAGAGTAGAAGGCCAGCGGTGGGTAGCAGGGGTTGGGCGGGAAACTGCGGGGAAAGGAAGTTTGGGGCAAGGGCTCGGCGAAGCACGCTGGGCAGGCCGCCGCCATCACATGGCGGCGGCGCCAGGCGGGAGACCTGGCGGGTCGAGCCAGGCGCCTCGCGCGCTGCCGCAATCCGTGCAACTTTGAGCGCATTGGCTACTGGCAGGGCCGCCGCGCTGCACGCACCGGCCCGTGGCCGTCATATCGCGAGGCATCTTGGCAGGTTGACTGGGCGCTCTGTACGTGCCCTGGCCGCGCTCTCCTCCCCAGCAGGTGTACGAGCGCTCCGATAAGCCCCGGGAAGAGCAGGGGAGGGACGAAAGGCCAGTCAGCTTGTGCAGCGCACTTTCCAGCCTCGTGCCCCACCGCCTTCTGCCCTCGCTGCATCGCCGGCCTTTGTCAAGCCTGAAAGCCATCAAAGCATCAAATTACAAGGGCAACAGTTGGGACAGGTTGAAAAGATGGGGTGATGAAATGTGTGCTCAGGAGGGCGGGGCGGGTTGGCCTGCAAAAGTGAGCACCGCAAGGCATGCCAGAGCGAGCCGCTAGTTGGCATTCGTGCCTCTGCATCCAGGCACAGAAGGTGCATCATGCCGCATCTGGTCAATGCCGGCCGCTGCCGCCGTTCCCCGCCTGGCGGCCTGGCTGGCTACCTGACGCCCGCCTGCCGCGCCGCCTCCTCATCCTCAGCAAACATCTGCTGGGCGGCCGCAATGGCGGCGGCGTCATCGGGGTTCACATTCCACCCTGCACGCAAGCACAGGCCACGCAGGCGCACGCCAGCACGGCAGCCACTCAGGCAGTGTTCTTGTTTTGCTGTAGCTCCCCACACCGGTGTATACAAGCAGCTGTGCGGCCAGCCGGGCACATGTGGTGGCCTCGCCGCCTTCCCGCCCGGCCCACCTGGGATGAGGGAGGTGAAGAAGCCCACCACCAGCGCCTGCAGCTCACGCAGCAGCCCGCCGCCGCGCTGCGCCACCGCCTGCTGCCCAGCCTCGCCCGCCGCGGGCACGGCCGCAGGCTGCCCGGCCGCGCCGTCGGCCGCGACCGGCGGGGCGGCGTCGGCGGGCCTCGCCGCCTCGCCCTGCGCGCCGCCCTGCGCTGCCCCCTCGCGCTGCGGCGGCTGGGGCGCGGCCGCGTCGCCGGCTGCGGGCTGGCGCCGCGGCGCGGGCTGCGGCGGCGCGGCCTGGTGACGCCCGCCAGTCGGTTGAGCAGGCGGCGCACTGGCTCTGTGGCTGTGAGGTACATGAGCAAGCCCAGGCCCAGCAGCATGAGGAAGCGGCTGGGGGGGCAGTGCTGGTACACCACCACTATCAGCACCAGCAGCTGCAGCACAGCCCGT